ATGAGAAAAAGTCAACATTGTTCCTTAAAGTTTTCACAAAAAATTTTTCGCACAGCGGAAAAAACCCACGAACGTTTTGAAGCATTGACATTGAGCAGTTTTCCATTTAAGAAATAAACTACGGAAAGAAGTATGCAACGTCGCAAACCGAGATACTAGGGTTGGAAGTTTCACCGTTGAAAAATTATTGAGATTTGTCAGTTATTTCTCTCCCCAAAGTAGTTACCCGCTTAAAAAAAAGAAAAAAAGAAGGAGAAGAAAAAGAAAACGTGTTGAGCATCGGTAATCGGTTTCAGCTCCATATAATCCCCACAACAAAAACCTAGACCTCGCTATTGCCCCCAAAATTCTTTTTGTCTCTTTTAAGTAAACTCTTCATTTTTCAATTAGAAACATTCCCTGCTTCATATGGACTTTCTTTTCCCATTAAAACAGCTTGTATGAAATTTATGAACGGAAGTAAACCTAGTGATAGATATTCCTGTTTTTCCGAGTGAGAAGCATTAATTATTTTACAAAAAATTATAACGGCAAAAATAATCGAGAGAAAAAAGCCCTGATTTTTGCACAGTCTTTGAAATTATTTTGTAGGCTAAACATAAGGGTCAAGTGAGAGCGGAAAAGGCTAGATATTTTAGTGTGAATATTCCAAACCGGACTGGGAGAGAGTGGCAACGCTACTGTGCGCAACTGTTCGTGCTCTTAAGCCACACATATTGCCATCACAGTTATTTAAGGCGAACTCGACAAAATGAGGGCACGCAATAACTACGTAGATTGATCAATGTGTGTTCCTTTCCGGACTGAGAGAAAGTGGCAACGCCACTGAGCGCAACTGTTCGTGCTCTTAAGCCACACATATTGCCATCACAGTTATCGAAGGCGTACTCGACAAAGCGAGAGGCACGCAGGCAGAAATATCAACGTATCCATCCTTTCCGGGACGAAGCGGAAGTGACATACCAACAAAGCTACTGCAAGCAGTAAGTATTACTCACGTCAATTTTACCATCTACCATAGTAAGAACTCCGATTCTTGTACAATATCAATTTTTTCAAGTATCAAAATGTTAAATGGTTTTTTAGCAGCAGAGTCAACAATGAATGTGTATGTATAGTGCACTTCATTGCACCTGATGCAATTTCCTTTTAGAACTTAAAGGAGAGAGAGGAGAAAAAGGAGGGAAAACAATTCAAGTCCATGACGTCAACGGAAATTTTTACTGGGAGAGAATCCCCACAAAATACAATAATCAGCGATATAGGGTCACCCTGAGTATCACAACCATCGCGTATTGCAAAGAACAGGAGGAGCGATCTTAAAAAGGAAATCCGTTGTCTTTGAGTTTCCACATCAGCAAGAAAGATTCGAGCATGCGAAAAAAACTAGGGTAGCGAGAAAGTAAAAATCCTTTTTGAATGAAACAGAGGGCGGCAAATTTTGACTAACTTGCAGTGGCAAACCAGCGAGGACTGACCTCTGAGTCCGTCGAGAGATTCTTTTGGCATTATTAATGCCGGCCGCTTGGGCGAAAATTTCCCATCACGTGTACGTATTCTTGGTTGACAAAGTATTATACAGAAAAGCTATCATCAAATTTTCCTTTTCTTAAATGTATTATTGGTGAAATAAAGTGCATAAACTGGCAATTGTGGAGGCATATCCGCCTCCAAGGGTTCATTGACTTTTTTTACGCTTTGATACTGAGAGAGAGAGGAGGTTGTTCATCTAATAAAAAGACTCAAAGTCCAAACGTGATTTATTTGCAGTCTTTATTTATTCTCTCCCTTGCGCACTGTAAGTCTACAGCCACTCAACTACCCTTGTAGCATTTATAACTCGTATATTCAGTCGAATGACGTCGCTTGTTTTTGGTATCAAGCATAAGAAAGAGGTTTATTTTTATGTATACCTACAATTTACTGCGGAACTAAGCTTAAAGTAATATCTGGTCGAATTTTCACTTGTGATCTCGCAATTTTCAGGTACCTACATTTTGGCAATTAAGTTTGTATCGCAACTTCTGATTAAGATACTGACGTTTTAAGGTTACACTGGCTACTGGAAATTGGATTCCCCGCTCACAAGAAAAACAATTATCTAAGTTGAATCAAAGGGCGCCTTAAAACGGTTTCGTCAGACTTTTAAATCGAGGAATATTTCCTCTTTGCCCTGTTTTGTTCTAAGTGTTAACTGTATGCAACAGCTGAGCCGAAGTAACATAATTGAGGTTGCTATATTTTCATACTGTTACGTAGGGCCGGATTCACCTACTTGCCGCCTATATTTTGCCGCCCCCTTCTCAATCGTTTTGAAACTCGATTAAAACCATCAAATGAACGTGCCAGCGGGAAAGGGGTGCATAAGACGCATTTACTCGTGTTGAACACATTTTTTTGGGAAAGCCCTGTCAACACTAACTAGGAAAAGTTCACGAAACTTTGCGCGAAAGTTAAGTTCCGTAAACCTATCTCTGTGTGGACAAGGCCTTCCATTCATAAGAGATGAACGAAGAAATTATGAAAGAACAAACATAAATGTGGTTTAATGATTTTAACTTCCGCCGCCGCGCCGCGCAGACCGCGCCGTGTTTGGCGCAATGCGTGAAGTATTCACGCAGTCTTGTAGGCGCTATGCGTTTCACGCTGACCGCACTGTGTTTGGCGCAATGCGTGAAGTATTCATGCATTCTTGTAGGCGATATCCGTTTCACGCTGACCGCAATAACCGCACTGTGTTTGATGCGATGCGTGAAGTATTCGTGCAGTCTTGTAGGCGCTAATATGTGTTACATGCCGATCGCCGCGCCGACGGCTTCTCCTTCTCATCTCAAGTCCTCGTTATCATTTCTCTCTAAGTCGCGCCGTTCTAGGCCAAATTGCGTGTTTGGTTTCTCTCGTAACTCAACTTATTGAGGGTGCTGTCTCTTGTATCACTAAGAGACGACAAAATTAGAAATTACTATTCTCTTCGGAAATGAGAGATTTTGTCGCCTTTTCTAGTTTGTAATTTTCTTTTTATAAATTCGATTTTTTTATACCTACACATTAAAAAATTGCAAATTTTTTCCGCCCCTTAGATTTGCCGCCATGGGCCGCGGCCCATGTGGCCACCCCCTTAACCCGGCCCTGCTGTTACGGACTGTTAAGAACGGTCATAGTAACATTTATTGCGCAATGGACCAGTAGACAAGGTACGAATTTGAGCATTCTGATACATGATTCTTGACCAAATTTTCACGTAAAACACTGTGCGCACAACGAAAATTACCGATATCAACTCTTTACGAAGATATTTAATGATTCTTGATGCGTAAATTCAAACCACCCGCTCACGAAAACTCAATGCTCTATACGTGATTCACATCGCGCTAAACGTTATAAGGACAGTATCTGCGATTTAAAAATCTGGCAACCTCAATTTTGACGCTTTGGCTCAGCTATAGCAAACCGCTTATAGTTTGAACAACACATGGTGGGAAATGAACATTGCTCGATTGAGAAGCTTGCTGAAACCGTTGTAGTGCACGATTTGACTCACGTAGAGCTTTGAGTTTCTTGTCAGCGGGCAGTTCAAATTCCTCGTAACCAATGTGAAATAAAAACGTTAATATCTTCGTTAGGAATTGGTTTCAGTAATTTTCGTTGTGCGAATCGTGCTCTACGTGAAATTCTGACCAAGAAACATGTATCAGATTGCTTAAATTCGTACCTTGTCTAGTGGTCCATTCGACTCATATTAACTTTTGTCTTTTTAAGAGCGGAAGATTTGAATTTACTTTTTTAAAAAAAATCATGTTAAATTCAGTTGATTTCAGGAAATTTTGTTGAGTGAATCGTATTCTACACGAAGAAAATCATGAAGAAAACACGTATCAAAATGCTTCCATTCGCACCTTGTCTGGTGATCCATTCGCAAATCCCTGACACGTACAAGTGCTTATTGATCACTCAATATTCAAATGGCGGAAGTTATGAGCCGAAACAATTTTTGAGTTTTAAATCACGAGTATCGATTGATCCATTCGAAGTGGTTCTTTCTTCTCCAACTAGATTTGTCCCCTTAGCAGATACAGACCATCTTTTCAGGGACGATACTCGATACAGTCCCATCAAATGAAAAAATATTTCTGGAATGTTTCAAAAATATTGACAAAAAGTTCATGGCAATAAAGTTCTATTATTTTTGAGGTATTGCAAAAACACTGCAAAAATTTGCGAGCCGACTCATTTTTTAAAATAAAAGATCACTCTTAATGTAAAATACATGTCAAAAAAAAAATTGTCAAAATTGAATAATATTTTGGAACTTATTGCATCATTTACTTAACTATATCACGCTTCTTGAATGGATAAGCGGGCGCAGCAACCTAGATACGGTTTAAAGACTGTGGATGGTGAAGTTTTTCCAACATGCGATTAGCTACATGTGTCTTGAAGTGTATTGAGCGTTGAATTTGGAGAAGGGGTTCTTCTCTTACCGGAGTCATTGCGCATCACCGAAACATGGCAAATTTTAAATTAGTGGGCCCTAAAAATTCGAAAAATTTCTCTAATTTGGCACGATTTTGCAACTATTTATTTAACGTGCAGACAGATTTTATAAGAGATCATTCATTTTAAACAATTCTGATTAATCCAATTATTCTTGCAAAGGTTGTAGGCAGTTAAAAAGTTTACCAATGACCCCGCACTCCTCTCAATGAGGAGGTTTCTACCAATAAATCTGCCTCAATCGAACGTCTTACGTCGGTCTCTGAAAAGACGGATCGTGGATCGTATTTGGACGTATTTCAGCCAAACGGAACTATGTGTATTATGACGTGAGCCCTGTTATGTATATATTCCTATGGATTTCAAGGCTCATGTCTCAATGCACATAGTTCCGTTTGGCAGAAACACGTTCATTTGATAGGAGGCTAAATCAAGCGGAATCTGGAAAAATTCTTCGTCCGCAGTTTATGAAACAGAAAAGAAATCAATCACAAAGATATATTTTCTAGTAATTTTTTATTTTTTTCAGTATTTTTCAGTCATTCATAAAAATTCAAAATACAATTTGTACTGAGTCTTTTATGCAAGTTTTTATATCAAATTAAAAAAGAAATCATAGAATAAATAAATTATAACAAATAAATATGTAATTAACAAATAAACGAATACGTGAATCAGTACCTAAATATTCTTTATAGAAGTACGTACAACGAGTATTGAGAGGTACATTTTTTACAGAGACTTGAGCCATTAATATTCTTTATTACTTAAAATAAAGATTATAGTCTAGTGCATATCATTTCTCAATGTTGAGGAAACGCGATATCACAAAATTTATGTCTTGAGGATACATGACCATCATTATCTCCCCTTTTTGCTCTAACTTTAAGAATCAATTGCAATAACGCCTTAAAGATGATCAACACATATTTTAGTAGCTCGCACAATGTATGGTCACAGTGTGACTAAGCTGTTACACGTATTTTCCAATAGTTTAACGTTAAAAGGTCTTCTCAATAAACGTGCCTTGCTGTTAAAATTGTTCGTAAACAGCCACATGCCTCAACACCATAAGTCATTGAGTGTAAATTTACTCCTAATGAATACATGACGTGTACATCTTCAAAACGCAGAGCGAGTACGAAAAAGGAATCATGTAAATGATCTCTTGCATCCAATTATTGGACTCATTTTGAGAGTTCGGACCATCACCCTTAGCAAATGCTGAATTTACCTTTGATCCAGCTTTGATTCAGCTTGATCCAGGAATTTTGATTTCACGAGAATGAGGATTGAATTTCAATGGCTCAGCTTGAATGATTTTCTGACTTCTGATCTCTAATTTAGGGAGTTTCAAGGAAAATATTTTTCTAAACATAAACACTTAATATCTACAATATTTTCCAGGGGCAGTGAAGTAGCGACTGATATTATTCTTACATACAATGACTAGCATCTATACAATCTTACACAAAATGACTAGCATCTATAATTTCTTACACATGATGACTAAATTCTCGTGAAATAAAGGAACCACACCTCTTCTATTACATTTCAACAAGTTTATTGTAGAATTTAAGCACTGGCTTTGTTTTCGACTTCATTATTTTAAAATCTATCAGTCCGCCAACAGCCTTTCTCATGGTTCTCATGAAAAACTGACAACGAGCACAATAAGATTTAATGCATCATGCATTTAAAAAACAACGTCCAAACGAGTATTCTGATTCTTGTTCAAACTTTTAGGAAAAGCTCTTTGTGGCCGTCAGGTCTGTGCTTATCACTAATGCCTCTCATTCTGCACTCAGCACTTATTTCCTGATAAGTATAAATACATGTTTCAATCTACAGACCATTTGTAATAGTATTTAAATTCAACTTATGTATTCTTCTTAGACGAGCTTGAAGCATCACATCAATTACTATACTGAAAGACAGTGAAATTGATTTGCAAGTTACAAATATACACCCGTGCTCTTTGAAACAATCTGTAGCTACTCTCGCTACAGCCTAAGTACGTATTTCGCGCAAGTGCCCAGACAAGAATATAATTAAAATTTGGACGGACACTGAGTTTTAAAAAGCAACATAATTTAAAAGATAGGCAATGAAAAAATTCAGGATGCCGGCCCACACACATACATAGCCCATCAATAATAATTGCCTCTAAATCGAAAACGGCTCACTCCGCAAAAATATGGGGAAGCCGAATAAACTAAATAGAAAAAAACAGCAGGGTTATTTTCTGTGGAAATGTACCAATTTTTATAAAATTAATACTTATTGTTCTAATCTAATCATAGCTACTTACCACGTGGTAGACCTTATCCTAAAATCACAAAAATTTTCTGGTATCTCTGTAGAATTATTCAAAGTGGGAGCTACCTAATTGCAGCGGCGATTCTTGAAATCTGACTGTGCTGTTTTTCCTCCCTCTGAATGTATGTTAAACAATCGATTGTTGGTGAGGCAGATTGCCTCGCCTAAAAACGATATTTTTAATGGATTTAAATTGAGGAAAAACAGTGTTCCCAACCTGAAAAATCGCCACTGCCTGTTTGAGTAGTTTCCTTACACAAATTAGAGTAAATCGTTATTTGTTCAAAATTGATATTTCAAAAACTTTACAGTATTTTGGTGTAAAGTCAGGATGAACATCAAAACATATGCAAGTGGGCGTATTTTTTAAAAAAAAGTCACAATAAATTCCACCTTAGAAGATAAGCCGCAAAAAACGATTTAACTTACTAATTATTTCAGAAGCAAGTCTATAAGGAGTAGATCGGATCTATGAAATGCTACAATTAACAGAATCCTTAAAATGTATCATCCTGAGAAGACAGTTTTGCCAAACATTTTCAAATTAAAACCTAAGTCACTTAAGGTCCGGTTGATATCAATTGGTATTTAAAATATCAAGTATCCTAAAAAGTTATATTCAACTTTAACAAGATAGTACGATTGGCTTCATTTGCCGTCTTGATTATTTGGACACATTCGAGAATAATGTTTTGTTACTAACCTAATACGTATTCAAGTGTGAGCTAATAAATACAAATAGAAACAAGCAATATACAGTCTCAAATTGTCCGATGAGACCTTCTCATATTAAGTCGCAGTTGTCATTTTTTTCGTCGTTGAAGTTGAAGCGAAAAGGTTTGATGTATTTCCTCATTGAAGGCTCAAAATTCTCTCCACGGAAAGTACGTCCAAATAATTAGAAAACTCTTTTTTTCTCAATGATAGAAGGCTGACACGAAGCCTTATTCAAAGACCTAGCTTTACTAATTCTATGGAATTCCGCGATTTTCACCTATAAAAATGAATTTCACTTCAGTTTTACGTTTGGTTAAAAATGCAGGTGAATGCAGGTACGTCCAGAAACTTCACCAGTGGTCGCTTGAAAGAATTGAAAATGGTCTGGTGGTGCTAACTAAAAAACTCCTCGTTAGTGCCCTCGTATCCTCTTTTTTTTTTGTTTCTAATCAAAGGGTTATTCACTGAAAATTTGCAGGGGTAGGGATAGAATTTTTGGAGCACTCGGAGCTGCGGATGAAAAAATTCCTAAAAAAGGAGGAACCGGAAAAATAACTGTCTGAATAGAGGAAATCAACTGCTTGTTTAAAACTTGGCTTTGCGTGCTACGAAAGTTGACCGGCTTTAACCACGATCACATTGGCGGATTCAGCAAATTGGCAACATTGTTTTCCTCCATTTAAACCTATGGAAATGCATCGGTTCTTAGACGGACCAGGTGCTCCGACAAGAATCGATTATTTAGCATAGGTTTAAAGGGAGGAAATCCGGTGTTGCCAAATTGCTGGATTCGCATCTGCACAATCAGCCGAGCTGAACTAGGTAAATATGTTGACGTAAATTATCTGTGTAGAGGGAAACTGTAAGCATTACTCAACCTCTAAATCATGTGAAATATTCTTTGATATCCAGGAGGAATCAATAGAAAATTTAAAATTATTGGATTCTTAGTTTTCTGGCCATAAAAAAATAGAAAATGAAAAGAAACATACGGGGAAAGTGGATGTATTTGTGCTAAGAGGAACTCTGCCCAAATGAATTGGACCAAGAGGGACAGCGAAGCAATTGTGCGAACATCGTTTGCTTTGATTTGACTCATTTGTACAAAATTTCTCTCAGTCCAAAACTCGTCCGATTAGGCAGCGTAAAATTGAGCTAGTTTCATTGAAGGGCTCGAAGGACAAGGCGCATAAGTGCAGTTTTTTCAATTTTGAGAAAGACGTGTTTAAAGTTTTTGAATTATGTAAAGCCTCATGGCGGGTTGGAAGTTCTAACTCACATTTTGATTCTTGAAATTGGATTCTACCGGTGATTTTCAAACGTAGATTTAGTTGAAATCGCTAACATATCAATTTCTTTTGGAAAACTGCACTTATGCTCCTTGTCCTCCAAGCGCCTTAATTCTACTTAAATGTGTCCAATGTGAGTATTTATAGGAAGCAAAGGAAGGAAGATAGTATTTTTCTCAGGTTCAAAGTATTGTGAACTTTGTCAGACGGACTTAATGAGTTTGCCGACCCGAGCGGTCCACGTTTGGTGATTTGCGAAACAGGGGAGTCGGACAAGCGTCTGGAGGAGACGTCGACCAACGGAAACGAGGCTACGAGGGAGAAACCGCTGGCACAGCTCGTAACACCACCAGACCAATAGTCATATACTAGCCAAGGAGCCCGTTTGGGGTCTGACCACCAGCTCCGGGTGCGGCTTTCAGGTGACGTCAAGGGCCGAGTCGGCGTTGTTGTCGCAGGACAGGACCCACTCCCAGACCCGCTTGGCCACCGCCTTCTGATCCACCGTCGTCTCCAGGCCGTACGAGTTGAGGAACTTGCGCAAGCGGGTCTTGCTCACGTCCGAGACGTGCTTGATGTCGTCGTCGTCGTCGTCCTTGCAGTTGAGGTAGAGGTTGTCCGAGTTCTTGCGCTGCAGCGGCGAGGTGTCCGTGAGCCAGGCGTCCTTGAGGTACTTGTTCACCTCCGTCACCGGCGCCCGCTTCTCCGGCTTCTGCTCCAGGAGCCGCCGGAACATGCGGAGCGTCCGCGGGGTGAACTTGCGGAAGTTGTGCGGGAGCTTCGTGGTCCGCCGCTTCTGCCACTTGAGGAAGTTGCTGAAGTCGGTGTCGGCGAGGTCGGCCGACTTCCACGGCGGCGAGCCGGTGAGGCAGACGAAGAGGACGATGGCCACCTGCCAGCAGTCGGCGGCCGTGCGGCAGATGAACTTCTCCTTGGACACCGCCTCGCAGACCTCCGGCGGGAGGAAGGGGTGCCACGTGCACTTGACCTTGGACACCAGGCAGCCCTCCCGCCGCGTCTCGCCGAAGTCGCACAGCTTGATCTTGGATAAATCCGGGGCGAAGACGAGGATGTTCTCTAGTTTGATGTCCCGGTGGACCAGCTGCTTAGAGTGCAGGAACTCGAGGGCCGACGTGAGTTGTTGAGCCACCCTCTTGCAGGCGTCTTCAGGGAGGCCGCCCTCGCGGATGACGGCGGCCAGGTCGCCGTAAGGAGCGTGCTCCTGGGCGAAGACGTAGCAGTCGTCGGCTTTGAAGGCCACTGGGTAGGAGGAGAGGATGTTCGGGTGGGGGGAGAGGTGGTAGGAGTAGTGGAACTCGCGGAAGAAGGCCTTGAGGGAGGTCATCTCCGAGTGGACGGCCTTGAGGACGACCTTGGTGTTGCACTTGCGGTGGACGGCCAGGAGGACCTTGGCGAAGCAGCCCTCGCCGAGTGTCTTCTCGATGTCGTACTCGGACTCCAGCTCCACCTCGTCCAGCTCCATCTCCTGCACCCGGTGGATGATGCTCGAGCCGTTTGACTTCTCGCTCCGCATCCTGCACACACAGAAAACCAGATTCTTAGATTCGCAACATTTCATCAACTCGGTACCACACAGTAAGAAGAAGTCGTGTTAAGATAGGAAGAGGAAGATGAAGTAAACGTGAAGTAACCTCCGAAGATTGACGAGCGTTGACGTCAGTGAGGAGAGCGTGGAAGGCGCTGGACTCGGAAAGCATCCAGCTCTTAAACAAAGCTTTACTTGGCGGTTAATTGCTCTTTTAAACAAGGCGACGATCCCTGGAACGAGCCCCGTCTCCACTGTTTACCCCTTAACTTGATTTCGCGCGTCTCTGTTTATTCCCACCGTTCACAACCGCGCACAGTGGAACGAGTCGGAAGAGAAGTCGGACATTGAATTTTTTACAAAAACTTCAAATGATGTTAATTTCATCACGTTTTAAATTTTAAGAGGTGTCTCTTCGAATAAATTTTACGAGAAGACCAAAGATTAAACCTGCACCCATGTGTCCAACCTTTGGCACTGATCCGTTAGCTTTCCACTATACGCCCTGACAGCGCCGAGCTATCTAAACGCGACCTGTCGAACGAGACTGGAGGGGCGACCGGGGAGTTTCTGCCCCTCGGACCCCATGGTGCTTATTTCTGAATGGATTTTCGTGCGTGATCGTTAATGTTATAATTTTTTTATAGCGCAGATGTTATCATTTTGAGATTACAATTTAATTTAGCCTCAACGCTCCAGATAATGAGATGGTTTGACCTGCAAAACATTGCATGTAATCAACCTGTCAACACGTTGATAATATGCCCTCCTATGTGTAGTGTGGTTGTAGCGGTAGCTCTATGATCGAGAGGTCCCGGCTTCGATTCCCGGCCAGGCAACCCGAGTTCGATCGTCTCATTTCGGTTGTCTGGGACTGGTTGTTCCTTAGTGACGTAGGGGGGACGGGCCTAAAGCGCAGGATCATCCCTTGTGGGTTATTTGAAGTAGTAAAACAAACAAATAAATAAAAATATCGGGGTGGAAAACACTGGGGAAAAAAAACACATTGGATCTAGAGTCCAGACTCTCGAAAACATTGTCAAGAAAAAATACTCTTAATTCAATCAGATTTAAGCTTAAGTCAAAAGGAAATCCACTCAAATTAAAAGGATTGGTTCTTGATTTAAGCAAAAATCCGATTGAATCAAGAGTATTTTTTCTTGTCGATGTTTTTAAGAGTCAGGACTCTGGATCCAATGTGTTTTTTTTGTTTTTTTTTCCAGTGAAATGTTAAAAAATGGATTATTTTTCGCTTAATAGCACACGTCTACGGTTGTCCCATTTCCAGTTGTCATTCGGCCGAGTCGAGTAGGGTATAAAAGGGAAAATATGACGTCATCGGTCATCGGAAGCATTCGACTGGCATTGGCTCGGAGCACTAATAGACAGTGCGACATTTATTTAAATTTCCCCATTGCGGTAGGGATGGGATTCGGCGTCGCTAGGGTGTAGGGGGGAGGGGGACGGGGGATCGCGGGCTGATTTATTAATTACGGCTGATGTTCCCGTCCGTCCTCGTTCACCAGCGCCGGAGCTCGGGCCCCGGGGTCCGCGTTTGCGTCATCAAGAAGCGCCGTTGCCAAATCGTGCGGGGAGCCACAGCGCCCCTCGCCGGATCCGGCACGACTTGGCAAGCGCCGCGGGAAGCCCCGCGAACACCGCGCGCGTTTTGGCAGTGTTTTCCTAATCCCCGAATCTCGATCCCCCCTCCGGCCGACGCGCGGTGCGGACCGAAAAGAAATTTTCCGGAATTTATTTTTAAAATCAAAACGGTTCGATACCGTCTCGCCACCCCCGTCCGCTGCCCAATTAACATGCGGAGTTCTTGACCAACATTTTTAATGAGTTTATTTCGGGCCCGGCTGATTGGTCGCCTAACTGCAGTTCCGAAAGTGAATCGCTGGCAGGGCTCACCCCGTCGAAAACCACCCATGTGCGACCGTTTCCAACAAGGGGATTAATTATGATCTCCTCGATTCGATTTGGCAACATGGCAATATTTTCATGTAATGTACACTCGGTTCTCGCGCTTGAGGTTGAAACCGTGCAGTTGGAAAACACGCCGTATAAATTTCTGATAACGACATTTTGACCGGTATCATTTAATTTCCTATTTATTAGACAGTATGAATCAGAATCAGCCTAGCCGCATAGAAAGTTGTGAAATTTTCTCCCCCTCACCCCCCCCCCCCCCCCC